TCTCCACCAGAGAGTTTCCTTTCTCTCTCTTTTTGTTTTTGGCAGCACAAACCCACTATCAACATGCAGAAAGTCTGTTTATTTCTTTCCTTCAGCAGTTACCATAAACTGTAACTTTTAATTGATAAGTAGGAGACCTTTATAAGTGTGAACCAGTCACCCTGTGCCTCCTGCGAACCAGTGAAAACATCTGGAGGAGGAAGATCAAGAAGTAGTTTTCAGATCAGCACTAGTCGTCCCAGAAAGCAGCCACTTTCTCAGTGTCCCCTCCACCCACAACACCCCTGTTTTTCCTGTCAGTGTCTGTGACTGTAAGGGGGAATTTATAAGGAGATTACAGATTTAACATATACTATTAACAATTGTTTATCTGTAGCTACAGTCTAATTTTTTGTAAAAAAGAACAATTCTTGTTAAATACAGAAACCTGGTCTTTTCTTTTTGTCAACCTGGGTATGGAAGTCCAGTAATTGGGGAATTTTGCAATTTTTTAGTACAAAAATACTTAATTTTGGGATGACTCTGTGAATAGCCACATTTGATTTCCAGTGCATTGACCCCAGTGGGTGTAATGCAGTTCAATTTTGATTTGTTATTGTCACATGTACCAAGATACAGTGAAATGTCTTGTTTTGCGTGCTATCCAGGCAAGTCATACCTTTACGTCAGTATGCCAGGGTAATAGAACAGAATGCAGAATGTAGTGTTACAGCTACAGAGAAGGTGCAGAGAGAAAGATCAACTCTAATATATGAGAGATTCATTCATAAGTCTGATAACAGCAGGGGAGAAACTGTTCTTGACTCTGTTGGTACGTATTTTCAAACTTCTGTACCTCCTGCCCAATGGAAAAGGGTGGAAGAGAATATAACTGGGGTGGGAGGGGTCTTTGATGATGTTGGCTGCTTACCCAAGGCAGTGGGAAGTGTAGACGGAGTCAGTGGAGGGAAGGCTGGGAGTTGTGTGATGCACAGGACGCGTTCACAACTCTCTGTAATTAATTGCAGTCTTGGGAAGAGCAGTTGCTATACCACGCTGTGATCCAGCTGGATAGGATGCTATCTATGGTGCATCTATAAAAATTGGTAATGCTCATTGCGGCCGTGCCGAATTTCCTTAGCCTTCTGAGGACATAGAGGCATTGTTTGCTTTCTTAACTGAATTTACTGCACAGGCAGGAATCAAGGCCCAAGATCAGTCAGAACTGCAAAGAAACATTGAGATTTTACTCACACTGGGTCGCATGGGTAGACCCTAAGCTGGTATCGTCTCACTCCCTCCCAACACCTCGCCAAAACACCAAGGGAGTGAGAATCAATGTCATCGGCCATATTAGATGGGACAAGATGTGGCTCCAAATGGAATCACAATCTCAGCCTATGTCCAACAGGGGGAGCTATGCGCCATAGATGTGGCCAGCTTAGAAAATACTGAAAGTTAATAACACTTCCGTCATCTCAAAATCAATGACAAGAATCCTGCAGAAAGAACATTGCCAGAGAAATTGAAATCATGCAATGAGAAAAGTTCAATAAATTAAAGGTACAGGACGAAGGATGAAGAAAGCATTCCTCAGGGAGGACAAATGGGGTCAAAGCAGATTCATCAACCTGAAGGCACAAAGGTTTGAAACTGAATTTAAACTCGATACCAACAAATGTAGAATTCCAAGGCCCAGGAAGTACTGATGATCAGATGCATGGTCAAATCACCACGAAGCTTAGTAACAGGGGATGAAGTGTCAGTAAAACATGAGTCAAACTGAGCTATCAGCATACCCCATTCTTCAGCAGAAAGCATTTGTTCGTCAGGTAACAAGGGAGGATTTATTTCCTCAGAATGAAGGCAGTGAAAACATTCCTACAGAGATTTCCTGGAGCTGAGATAACAAGGTGTAGAGCTGGATGAACACAGCAGGCCAAGCAGCATCATAGGAGCAGGAAGGCTTACGTTTCGGGCCTAGACCCTTCATCAAACCCTTCATCCAGCATCTGCAGTTCCTACTATCTCTGATACAACTTTCCTGGAGCTGAGATGGCTGATCTCCAACAACCATCTTCCTATGTGTCAGGTATGACTCCAAACAGCAGAGAGTTTGCCCCCTGATGCCCATTGATTCCAGTTTTGCTAGGGGTCCTTGATGCCACACTCGGTCGAATGCAGCCTTGATGTCAAGGGCTGTCACTCTCACCTCACCTCTGGAATTCAGCCCATTTGTCCATGTTTGAGCCAAGGCTGTAATGAGGTCAGGAGCTGAGTGGCCCTGGCGAACCCAAACTGGGCGTCACTGAGCAGGTTATTTCTGAGCAGGTGCTGCTTGGTGACACCTTCCATCACTTTACTGATGATCGAGAGGAGACTGATGGGGCGGTAATTGGCCAGGTTGGATTTGGCCTGCTTTTTGTGTACAGGACATACTTGGGCAATTTGCCACATTGTTGGGTAGATGCCAGTGCTGTAACTGTACTGGAACAACTTAGCTAAGGGAGTGGCAATTTCTGGAGCACAAGTCTTCAGTACTATTGCCGGAATGTTGTCAGGGCCTGTAGCTTTTGTACTATCCAGTACTTTCAACTGTTTCTTGATATCACATGGAGTGAATCGAATTGGTTGAAGGCTGGTATCTGTAATGCTGGGGACCACTGGAGGAGGCCGAGATGGATCATCCACTCGGCACTTCTGGCTGAAGGTTGCTGCGAATGCTTCAGCCTTATCTTTTGGACTGATGTGCTGGGCTCTTCCATCATTGAGGATGGGGATATTTGTGGAGCCTCCTCCTCCAGTGAGTTGTTTAATTGTCCACCACCATTCACGACTGGATGTGACAGGACTGCAGAGCTTAGATCTGATCCGTTGGTTGTGGGATCACTTAGCTCTGTCTATCACCTGCTGCTTTCGCTGTTTGGCGTGCAAGTAGTCCTGTTTGGTGGCTTCACCAGGTTGAAGCTTCATCTTCATGCCTGGTGCTGCTCCTGGCATGCCCTCCTACGCTCTGACCCAGGGTTGAGCCCCTGGCTTGATGGTAATGATTGCGTGGGGGATATGCCAGGCCATGAGGTTACAGATTGTTCTGGAGTACAATTCTGCTGCTGTTGATGGCCCAGAGTGCCTCATGGATGCCCAGTCTTGAAGTTGCTAGATCTGTGTGAAGTCTGTCCCATTTATCACGGTGATAGCGCCACACAACACGATGGAGGTTGTTCTCAATGTGAAGGCGGTACTGAAGTGGTAGTACTTCACTCAACCACCATGGCCTCCGTGACTTGACACCGAAAAGGATCTTTTCTTGCGAAATCGAGATTCCCAGATGGATTTGTATTCAGGCCAATTCGTGAGCGAGGATTTTGGAAAGCTCACTTTGGAGGTGGGCATCACCTGGGTGACCAGATTAAAAAAACAGATGAGCCACTTTTCTGGAACACAGCCTCCAGACGTAGCTAACCTCTCAAAGAAGGTAAAACAAGTTCGAGAGAAGCTGCAGCAGCTTTGGACACAGAGAAATAAAAATACTCACGACAACATTAAAGTCAGCAGAAAGGCTGCTAAAGGGACAGGAAGTTAAGATCGTCAGAAACACAGGTCAGTCTGGAGATTGTCAGAAAGCCCGCAGAGACAGTCAGGAGGGACAGACAAACAGATCGAGGAGTGAGACTGATTCTGATAATCACAGAATGTGGAAGAGCCAGTCTCTCACCTGATCAGGTAGGGAACAGAATGGTGCATCAACTCCAAAAACAAGATAACACCACAATCCAGGGAATCAGATCAGGACATTTTGTCTGGATAGAATTCTGGATCATCTCCATTTGTGAGATTCAGACTTTATGGAGGAGCTGGAGCTGGTGCTAATGGTAAGAATGATGTTAGTGGTTGTATAAACTGTGCAATGAGATCACAGTAAACTACTGCAAGAATGCAGAGAGAACTCCCAGGGGGAGATGTGGTATTGTCAGATTCCTCCAAATCGTCGTTAGTGTAGAATCGATCTCATGACGCAGTCAGAGAGAAGACACCAGTCTGAGGATGCAAGTGGAGAGACAGAGAGAGAGAGAGAGAAAGAGAGAGAGGTTCTTAGACTCTTAGAGAGAACTGGACTTGAGAACCCACAGTGCACAGAGATGAATAAAAGAGAGAGAAGACGTCCAGCACCAGGGAACTGAGCTTACAGTACGTTCTGAAAAAAAAATGGCTTCCCAACAATAAATTGAAAGAAACATCTGTTAGCCCAGAAGTAGATGTCAGATACACATTCCTGAAACAGAGCACGAGATGAGTGAGATCATGGGAAGGACTGACCGGATGATGTGCCTCTAACACCCAGACCTACCACCCCCCGGGTATTAACTGGACAATATGTCCTTTAACCCCTGGGTACTAACTGGACGATGTGCCCTCTGACCCCTGGATTCTAACTGGACAATGTGCCCTCTGACCCCTGTGCTTCGCTAAGCCTCCACATTGCCCTACCCATCTGTTCCTGTGTCACTGCCTTCTCCAGGGCAACTGGGAATGGGCAACAAATGCTGGGCCAGCCAGTGACACTCAGTCTTGGGAATGAACACCAAAGGACTTAGCCCAACTGCGCAGTGCAGAGTTTAACAGCGCTCCCAGTGATCCGGAGGGCCACGTAGACACGTGATGATGCTGAACTATCTTTGAAAAGTTCGAGAGGCATTGAAAAGATCAGGCAATGTCAAAAAGAGAGAGAGAGTGAAGCGTGGGTTTGACTGAGAGACTGAGCAGTCGCCCTGGGACCGGCGACATCAGCCTGCAGTAAACCACAGCCATGTGGATGCTTGTTTCAATCCGTCTACTACCAGTTCTAATTTGCATTTCACTTTACATGCTGCTCGTTTTTAATTTGACTCAGGACTGAGTTATAAAAGAACAGCGTCGCTATTTTTTCAATCTCCTTCCTGGAATTGTACCCCGAGTGAGTGAAAGTGTGTGTGTGCGTGTGTTTGCCAGTAATGTACAGTCAGACCTGATCAACAGCCGCACTGGAGTCCGCAAATTTAATCGAGAATGGCAGCAGAGGCAGCTCCATCCTTGTCTGAGATTGTGGTCAAACCCTCCCTGGTTCAGGGGGAGAAGTTCATTAAATGGGACGATGTAAGTTGGCGTTACAATTGACGATGTGGTTGAGCCAGGGAAGTTCGCCGGATGTTGCCGCACCTTTGAACAGGCAGTTATTGTTGAAGCCAGCAGCAACGTTGGTGAAAGGACAGGTCACTCAGGAACCTGGGCTAAGGGATGGTCAAATACTGAGAGCTGTGCGGTGGCGGTTGGAGGGGGGCGCGGGCGGGGTGCAGGGTGGGGAAAGGCAGGGTGATGGCAATATAGCTGGTTATTAAGAGAGCCAAGGTGGAGAACACCGAAGGTTAGAGAGGAACAGGTAGGAGCAGTGGTCAGTCAGGAGCTTGGGGTCAGTGAGGAATGGGGTGGTCAGTGAGGAACAGGGTGGTCAGTGAGGAACGGGGTGGTCAGTGAGGAATGGGGTGGTCAGTGAGGAACAGGGTGGTAAGTGAGGACTGGGGTGGTCAGTGAGGACTGGGGTGGTCAGTGAGGAACAGGGTGGTCAGTGAGGAACGGGGTGGTCAGTGAGGATTGGGGTGGTCAGTGAGGAACGGTGTGATCAGTGAGGAATGGGGTGGTCAGTGAGGAACAGTGTGGTCAGTGAGGAACAGGGTGGTCAGTGAGGAACAGTGTGGTCAGTGAGGAACGGGGTGGTCAGTGAGGAACGGGGTGGTCAGTGTAGCCCGGTTCCCTTTAGCCCTGCAATGTTTTAATCCTTGTCAGATAGTTATCCCATTCTCCCGCCTCTTCGACCTGTTTGTTTCCTCTCCACCTATCCTCTCCTCTATCCCTCTTCTATCCGCCTCCCACTCTCTCCCTATTTATTTCAAAACCCCCTTCCCCTCCCCCTTTTCTGATGAAGGGTCGAGGCCCGAAACGTCAGCCTCTCTGCTCCTATGATGCTGCTTGGCCTGCTGTGTTCATCCAGCCCTGCACCTTGTTGTCTCGGATTCTCCAGCATCTGCAGTTCCTACTATCTCTGTTGAAGTGTTAGGCCCTGTTTGTCTGTTGCTTCTTTTGCCATTCACCTTAAATTGGTGATGGTTGCTTTGCAATCTTTTGACCAATAGGACAAGTTCCTCCTTTGGAAGGTCTAATGAAGGAGGGAAATACACAGTAATTGGCAGGACCCCTAACACCATCAGCATACAGAGGGATCTAGGCTTACAGCTCCCTGAAAGTTGCATTGCGTGTGGATAAGATGATTAAGGAAGCAGATGGTACGCTTGCCTTCATCGGTCAGGTTATAGAGTATAAAAATTGGCATGTCATGTTGCAGCTGTTTGGAGCTTCAGTTCGGCCACATTTGCAATATTGTGTAAAATTCTGGTCGCCACACTACCAGAAGGATGTGGAGACTTTGGAGAGGGTACAGAAACTGTTTACCAAGGTGTTGCCCTGGTTTGGAAGGTATGAGGAGAGATTGGACAAACTTGATTTGTTTTCACTTGAATGTCGAAGGTTGAGGGATGACCTGATAGAAGTTTACAAAATTATGTGAGGATAATGGATAGAATGGATAGTTGAGGTCTTTTTCCCCAGGTAGAAATGTCAATTACTAGGGGACATAGATAAAAGGGGGTGAGTTTAAAGGAGATGCGAGAGGCCAGTTTTTTTTACGCAGAGGGTGGTAAGTGCCTGGAATGTGCTGCCAAAGGAAGTGGTGGAGGCGGATACAATAGCCAGGTTTAAGAGGCTTCTTGACAGATATGTGAATAGGCAGGGAAATAGAGAGATACGGACACAAGGTTTATAGTTTAGAAAGGCGGTGTGTGTTGGTGCAGTCTTGATGGGCTGAAGGGCCTGTTCCTGCTCTTTTCTATCCTTTTTTCTTCTTTGTTCTATCTACTCTGTCCAGTCTACTCATCAATTTATAAACCTTGACCAATGTTTCCTCAGGGGAAACAGCCTCAACTTCTCCAAACTACTGGTAGAGCAAAACCTCTTCTACCCTGAGATCATTCTTGTGATTCTCTTCTGTAGCCTTATTAAAGAAACTTATTAAAGTTTCCAGGACAAGTAATAGGACAGAGAGTTTGGAAAAGGCCAGGAACGTAACTTCAGGCACAGCAGAAAGGGGGACAGCGATGAGAAGGGGGTACCATCATTTCAGCACTGAGGGTGCTGTACTTAAATGCACGCAGTACATGAGACAAGGTAAGTGAGCTTGCAGCACAGGTTGAAACTGGCAGTTACAATGTTGTGGGTGTCACAGAGACGTGGCTGCAAGGGGATCAGGCCTGGGAACTAAGTATGCAAGGATATGCATCCCATGGAAAGGTCAGGCAAATGAGCAGAGGGGTCAGGTTTGCCTTGTTAGGAAGAATTGAAACTAAATCGATAGCAAGAGTCAGCAGGCGTGGAATCTGTGTGGCTAGAGTTGAGGAACTGCAAAGGGGAAAAAAAAGCAGACCCTGATGAGATAACAAGGTGTAGAGCTGAATGAACACAGCAGGCCAAGCAGCATCAGAGGAGCAGGAAAGCTGACGTTTCGGGTCTGGACCCTTCTTCAGAAAGGACCCTGATGGGAGTTGTGTACAGGCCTCCTAGCAGTAGTCAGGATGTGGGGAAGACCAGGAGGTAGAAAAGGCATGTAAGAAAGGCACTATTATAATAATCATTGGGGGTCTTCAATATGCAGGTGGACTGGGAAAAACAGACGAATCCCAAGAAAAGGAATTCATGGAATGTCTGTGAGATGTTTTGTTTTTGGAGCAGCTTGTAGGTAGAGACCACTAGGGAGCAGGTAATTCTGGATTTGTTGATGTCAATAAAGTAGATTGGATTAGGGAGTTTTGGGTGGAAAATCCCCTAGGGGTCAGTGAACATAATATGACAGAATTCACCCTGCAGTTTGAAAGGGAGAAGCTGGAATCAGATGTAATGGTATTACAATTGACTAAAGGTAACTACAAAGACATGAGGGAGGAGCTGGCCAGAGTTGATTGGAAGGGGAGCCGAGTAGGGAAGATGGTGGAGCAGGAGTTTCTGGGGGGTAATTTGGGAGGCACAGCAGAAATTCATCCCAAGGGCAGAAGAAACGTACTAAAGGGGAGGCTGAGACAACCATGACTGACGAGGGAAGTCAGGAGCAGCATAAAAGCAAAAGAGAAAGCACAGAATGTGGTGAATGAAGATCAGCTGAAAGCCAGAGGATTAGAAAGCCTTTAAAAAAATCAGCAGAGGATATTTAGAAAAAAAGCAATAAGTGGGGGGAAGATGAAATATGAAAGTAAGCTAGCTTGTAATCTAAAAGAAGATAGCAAGACTTTTATTTCAGAAACATGAAAGTTAAGAGGGAAGAAAAAGTGGACATTGGATTGCTAGAAAATTGGGCTGGGGAAGTAGTTATGGGGAACAAAGAAATGGCAGAGAAACTGGATAGATACTTTGCATCAGTTTTCATGGTGAAAGACACCAGCAGGGTACCAGAAATTCAGGACAGTCAGGGAGCAGAGGTGAGTGTAGTGGCCATCACTGAGGAGAAGGTGCTGGGGAAGCTGAAAGGTCTGAAGGTGGGTAAATCACCTGGATTAGATGGACTACACCCAGGGTTCCAGTCTATGCCCTGATTAATAAAACCCAGAGTACTGTATATTTTATGAATCATTCTCTTTATTTGCCCTATCAATGAATCATAAGCACAAACACTCAATTTCCCTGTTCCTGTTCTCCCTCTGTCATTTTACCTTTTATCATTGTGTGGTCTCTCCCTGTTCTTTCTTTGATAATGCATTGTTTCACAATTCCCTGCATTAAATTTTATCTTCCACTCCTCTGCCCGTTCCATCATATTTCCAAGTTTCACACCATCTTCAAAAGGTCGAATTTGTGGGCCCTGTACACTTAAATCGAGGTCATTAGCGTACATCAGGAGGAGCAGGGGGCCCTGACACTGATCCCTAATCAACCCACAGTCCAGGCCAAAAGGGGTCCATTCACTCCACTCTGATTCCTCAGACAACCTGATGTCCATGCTCCTATTGCCTATTTCAACCCAGGAGCTCTAGTTAGGCTCACAAGTCCGGTGTATTGCATTGTACCTAAAGCTTTGTGCAAATCTGTGTGTGCCACATCAGCCACAATGTCCTTATCCACCTTCTCCGTTACTTCATTCCAACCAAGTCAGCTGAGCAGGGTTTCATTAATCTGCACCAACTTCCCTTCATTAACCTGGACTTCTCTAAGTGACTATCCATTTCTGTTTTGTCTGAACTTAAACGTTTCTGAAAGGCCCCCCCACCATCAACCCTAAGTTGCTGGGGTTATCCTTACACATTTTATGAATAATGGCGTGAGGTTGGCAGATCTCCAGACCCCCTGTAGCCTTGGATGATTGAAAAATCACAGCTAGTGCCTCGTCAATTTCTGTCCTTACTTCCATCAGTGGCTTGGGTGCCCCTCCTTCTTGCTGATGTGTTCCTGAACACCTTTTCCAATAGATGTGGATTGTGCACAGCAATCCTACGGAGCCCATCCATGTGTTCCTTAGCTCCTAATCCCTCCTCCAGTATCCAATCCACCTGGAGATGCAGCACCTCTAACAGTGAGGTCTAATGTGGGCTGAGTTGTTTTCACACTGATGTTGTTTTACTATGTTCTCCCCTCAGGATACAGGAGTTGGATCACCAGTGGTTCTACGCATCGATTCCCATGGACACTTCCTGTACTGGACCTACCAGAACAAGGTAAGGAGAGGATTCAGCGTCTCCACATTTCCCTCCAAGTGGTAGCCCACTCCTCAGGATCAGGACAAGGCCACTCAGCCCCTTCCATCACTTCAATAGCTTTGAAGGAGAGGGAGTTCCTTGTGTGGAGAGGAGCACCCTGATTTCATTCCCTAAATGACCAAGATTGGCCCTCGCAGTTCTGGTTTCTCCCAGACAGGAGAAATCATTTTTCCCTGTCACGGAAGTGTTTTGTCACCACAAACACGTCAATCAGGTCAGCATCTGCAATCTGATCTACTCAACACACAGCCTGTGGACTCTCAGAGCCTGTGGTTTATCTGGGCCTGTGGTCTGAGGGCCGATGGTTTCTTAGGGTCTGTGATCTTAGGCCCAGATCTTCCCTGGGCCTAGGTGTCTCTGGTCCTGGATTTCTCCCCAGGACTGGGTCTCTTTCTCTCTCTCTCTCTCCCTCTCTCTCTCTCCCTTTGGGCCTGAGTCTCTCT